ACCTCTGTTCCGCTAATTCCTATATTCTGGCATGTCAGCCTTTATTTTAGTTAGTATTTAATTTTTCTTTTTTCTATGGAAACCTGCCTTATCTGACTTCTGGGCTACAAATGACTCTTGTATCATTTCCACTTCCAGTTAGGAACTTTTTTTTTTTTTTTTTTGGTGAGGAAGATCAGCCCTGTGCTAACATCTGCCAATCCTCCTCTTTTTTTTGCTGAGGAAGACTGGCCCTGGGCTAACATCCGTGCCTATCTTCCTCCACTTTATATGGGACGCCGCCACAGCATGGCTTGCCAAGCGGTGCGTCGGTGTGCCCGGGATCTGAACCGGCGAACCCCGGGCCGCCACGGCAGAGCCCTCTCACTTAACCACTTGTGCCACCGGGCCAGTTATGAACTTTTAACTGAGAAGCATGACGGTGGGGTTCTTTCTTGCCATTAACAGTCATATGACTACACCATGATCAAGAACAGAAAGTTAGATAAAATAGAGAAGGGCATCTGGAAGTTTCTGGAGAAAAGGAGCCAAGAAAGGGACAAAACCGAAAAGATCTCCCAGAACATCTCAATTGAAAGGGTCTGCATTTTGACTCACTAATTGACACGTTTATGAGGGGAGAAACTTTGATTTTCTCTCTGGCCAGTCTTCTGAGCCAGCTGAGAAAAAAGACATTCCAAGAAATGGACAAGAAGTGATAGCATATCTTTGTTGGTTACTCTGACCTATTAATGCTGCCTTTTATTTGTTTGTTGTTTATTTGTTTCTAAAAACAAAATGCTTCAGAGAGAAACAATTTCCTGGCATGAGACTGTCATAGTAAAGAAGCTCTCTTGGCATTCTGGGGACACAGGTCACTAATAATTTATTTGTATTCTATTCTGGTTAGGACCAATTTCAATCCTGACTTGCTTTAAGGACATTTTTTTCCAGGGCAGCAGGACTATTAAGTAAGGTGTTATTTTCACATTTAATAGTTTCTCTCTTAACAAAAAACCACATCTTTCAGTTCTGCTGTAACATTCAGAAACTTGATACCATCCTAAAGTATAGCCAAATTCTAAATATAGTCACAGATGATATTTTATAAAATAAAATCTATGGAAAATCCCTCATTTGTTCTTCTGAATTGGGTTCTTTTCCCCTTGATTTGACAGAAGGGGCTAAGCTTCATTCTGCTTTGTTATGTGTCAGCATGAATTTTCAATAGAGCAAGAAAGTAATTTTAGTATCCATAATGACTTTCACTACGATTGAGTTGATTAACAGCACGAAAAATAGGTATTTGAGTCAACCTTCCCTACAGGATTGTAAATGCAGATCTGCTAGTCTCTGTGGCTCTGCTAGCAGATATGTTATGTTTCTTCAGCTTAGGGTTTTTCAGAATTAAACCCAACATGGCTATGCAATGAGAAATAAATCCACGCAGCTTTATAAAGAGAATTTTGATGTACCATTTATTATCTTCCTCCTACCACCCAAAGCCTTGCACAGACTGTGGACATGCCTATTCCAGAAGAATTTGTCAACTGTTAAAATAAACACCAGCCTGCGTGCCCTGAAACAAATATACACTCGACACAAAACACACGGGAAAGTGAGGCAACAGATGGCAAATAAATTAAATGTATTGTTCTTCCCATTTTAACTCCTTTTTTTTTAGATTTTCCAAGGAATTTATATGAGGGAGGTGTAAAGGATATTTGCTAGGAACAGACTCTAATGTTCCTTTTTAATTGAGGGCAAGTCTATTAGAAAACAAAGATTAGTTGATGTCAATTCTGTAGGCCAGACATCATTTTTGTAGTTAATTGATTAAGAACTGTAGTAGGACCCTGTCAATACGTGGCTCTTTTTTTACATGACTTCTAAGTACCATAAATCAAATTGTATTCCCCAAAACACAAGAGCTGCAAACAGACCTGATCCGAGCTGGCCTCCAAGGCAGCTGTTATATAGAATAGTCCCCCAAATGGCTCACAATCTATTCTCCTTACACCCCCAGAAGGATGCACAAGAAAATGGTAACACTGGCTGTCTATGGGGTGGAGTGGCTGGGAGAAGGTGGGACGACTCCCTGAATAGCCTGTTGTATCTTTTGAATTTTGTATCATGTGACAGTATTTATTCAATAAAAAAAATGTTAAAAGTGGTTCTGCTTTATTTGCTTAATGAAAACAACTATGGTTCAAAAGCTCTATTGTTTTAGAAGGAAACAAGTCAATCTTAAAGGCAAACTAGAAAAAAACCTAGGTAACTACAAGTTTATACACCTCAACTCAGTTATCAAAGGCCTTCTGCTGCTACATCTCGGGCAAAGAAAGGAGACTATAAGTGGCTGACAAAATCACCCCATTAACTGAAAATCTGCAGCCTTATGCTAAATTCCCCCATTCTCTGGGAGATTGTTTCCTTAACAGTTGAGCAGGAACTTTTTTTATCAAATTACTGCCTTACTAGGATTGCTACCGATAATAAGAGCCACTACCGCACAGCCATTGGGAGCTTGGTCTTGGAGGATGGAGTCAGGCCCAAATTCGGAGCAGCTGGAAGAGAAGGGCCAGAGGACCAGGAGGGGCTTGAGCAGCCCGGGGGCTGGGTCCCATCTGTCTGGCTGAAGGACATCCATTCGTTCATACAAAAAAATGCCATTCAGAGGATGTACGTCCAGGCCGTCCAGGCAGGGGGAGACTGGCATAAAGGAGATCCAGTACAGGCTAACCCAAGACAAGCCCAAGCAGGTGGGACTCGGGGACTTGGGATCCAGGAGTCAGGAGCAGGCGGAGCCAGTACGGCCTGCAGCATCTAGAGACAAGTCTCTTCTACGTCCCCAGGGGACAGGCCAAAGAAAGACAGGCCAGAGTGTCAGCGATCTGGATTTCCTGCTAGTGACAAACACAGGGACTGCCGTGCAGAGCAAACCTGAGAGCCAGTTCCTAGAAGTAGAGCATGGGATCAGAGTGATACCAGCACAAAGCAGGCTTTACAATGCTATACGAGGTCTGGGAAGCTACAAAGTTCTCTAATAAGAGGGTTCATCCGAGAGCTGGGTCTCCGCAAGTGAAGGAAAAGAAAGTTGGAAGCAGAGAGCTAGGACAGAAGAGGAGAGAAGACCACAGAGGCACATCTTGCCTTCTTCTGAATGTGCATCATCCTAAAGAGAGTTGTCCAGATTCTTTTACCTCTGAACCACATTTCCTTAAATATATCTACCTATGTATGTTGCCTCTTAAGTTGTGTATTTATTGCCATTTTGAAGGTTTGAAGTTGTACTGCAAAGTATGTAATGTAACTCGAGAACAAAGTAGGGTTCTGTTTAAGCTACACCTTCAATTAGGTTCATATCATATTTCCTGCCTCACCATAGCAAATTTTCCCAATAGCAAAATTGCTGCTGCTTCTTAAAAGATCTGTAATCCTATAGCTCTGTCGAGTAGACATGTCAGTTTTGGGGTGATGAAAATGTTCTGGAATTAGACAGCAGTGGTGGTTGTACAACCTTGTAAATATACTAAAAACCACTGAATTGTGCCCTTTTAAGAGGTGAATTCTATGGTATGTGAATTATATCTCAATTTAAAAAATAAGACATGTCCAGGTGTAAAGTGACAGTAAGCGTGGGGGAGAGAAATGAATTCTAAGGGATAATCTGTGAAAATCTGTTTAAGAGCGAGGACATCTGGTCACTTCTGGAATTAGTGACTGCCCCATTTTTGCCAGGAGGGTAAAGCTCCTAAGTGAGATGATGGATGGGTTGAACGAATCATAGCCACACTCCTAAATGTGTAAACAAATTGTCCACATGTTCAGGTCAGATGATACTCAACAGGAACCAGGATTTGGAGCCCAGAACACAGCCAGTAACCCCTGACAGTTCTCCCAAACAACTGCTTCAGGAGTAGCCCTTTTACCAAATTCCCCTAAAAAGAACCTGTCTGTATGCGTAACACAAAGTATTTGCTTACCTTACAGAGACTGTTGCAGTTTTCTTATGTGTCAGAAGCAATTGATAACCTTTATTACTGAAATGCGCCCAACCGCATTTCTCTTGTTTACCTCTGTCATCAGCATCGCAGTAGTGTTCACGTATCGTTAGGCTCAGATAAATCCCATTGGTTAGACAAAATTTGCATTGGCCACATTCAGCTGTACCATTTTGCCTCTGTTCCTCTTTCTTCTGTGTGCATACATTACTGTGCTAGACATAGACAGGGGCTGCCTGCAGAGAAATGGATTCCTATAAAACCAAAGAGAAAAAGAGACCAGAAAGGAGAGCTGGGGTGATTTCTGAGTCATTCTTCCTGATTTCCACTGGGCTCACTGCGCTGGCCTTAAGTCCCTGTCCTGCGGTGAATGCATGGGGAGCATCCAGTGTCCACGGGGAGTGTTAGCCTGGTCCAGGAAGCGACTCCGAATACGACATTCCTGGCACCTGGCTCCAGGAACACATTCGTCCTTCTCCTGGACACCAAAGTAACTGTCCCTGCCCCCATCCCTCCTATAAGCCCATTGCCTGGCCAGGTTGAGGTTCAGAGAGGTCCATATGGGCTGCATCCCCCACACCACACCTTGGGCTTCCTGGGTGTGGTGCTCTCTTTATAAAACTTCCTTCAATAACTGAGGTATTTTGAAGATGCATGGCTTCTTCTAAGCCGTATTATTTCTACACCTTCCATGCACGCTCTTTAATATGCAGAGGAAGCCCTCTGAGAGCTCTATCGTGGTTCTCGTCTCCCACCACTCTGCTGATGGTCTCCATTGCTACCCCCACACCACATGCCATTTCAGACCTCAGTGCCTCTGTTTGAACTGCTCACACTGTCTTAAAGAAGCCTACCTTTCCCCTCCCCTTACTTCCACCTGCCAGTTCCTTTTTCCTCATCTGGCCTGAGCTCACTTATCACGTCTCTTAGGACACCTTCCATGGCCTTCTTCAGCCGAGGTCCGGCCCATCTGCCTCCACTGTAGCACACACCCTGGTGTAAGCCCCTTGAGGGACAATGAAGGTCTGTAACTTTGGATCCCTGGGACCCAGCAGGGAACTTGACCGCTGGTATGCATAATTTGATGTCTGTTCAGCTAAACTCAATATTCAGTTTCACCGTTCAATTTCTAACATGACTGCCTGTCAACAGGAGTGTTTGCTGTCTTTTTCTTATACTGAGAAAGCTGATGAGGAAAAGAGCTTTTCTTCGGCCAACTGATAAGAATCTCTGAGTGACTGTAGAGGATTTGGCTTTTTGTTTTGTTTTACTTAGATGAGTAGATTCAGAAATTAATATCTGCATTAGAATCATACAGAATGGAAACAGAGGCTCAAAAATCTTAAGCAGCTTGCCCAGGGTCCCTCAGCCAGCAGGTGTTCAGGACTCCTAGCTCCAAGCCCATACAGTTCCTATAACAACTTGCTGTCCTACTTTTTAAAATTCTCTGCATGTTTAAAATTTTAAAAGGTAAGTAGTATTAAACATCTTTTAAAATCAGAGATAGCTTGTAAGACCAAATTTGACATCCCCTGGTATAACATACACATTAAGGGGCCTCATTATGTTCTCCTACAGTTTTATGACCAAACTGATTGAACATATTGGCCACCAGGTGACTACACAGAAGTGGCACCAATTTTGTATGTGGCTTGTGTAAAGCAGTTTTCGACCTTCTGTGTACAACTGGTAAATTTTCCTTTAATCCATCATACTACCATAAGCATAACCGAAATATTTTTAAGGGCTTAAATGGATTTTCATGCCAGTATCAGTTGGTTTTATACATTCTTAGGCAGAAATGGGCTAGAATAGGAAAGTGACATTTTGGGGGGGGGGGTAGGGTATATATGTAGACCAGTTTCAGGACTGTTTGTGGTGTTTTCTTAGGCTTTTCAGAAATGTAATTTGGTGATTCATTTTTGTTTTATCCAGAAAGAACTTGTGCATAATCTCTACCTGATGTCAATCTCCTTTTCAGGTGACTTTTCAGATCACCCCTCCGTGTAGCAGTGAGAGGCATTATGAGCATTTTGGACGATGCTGTCACAAATGTGAACCAGGTTTGTAGTTCTGAGCCACCTTTCATTGTCCCTCAAAAGCAGGTGGGGCTCTTGTTTATATTTTTTAATCTAAAGAATGATCCCTATCCTGCCAATGAAAAAAGAAATTGGATAGACTTTTTATGGTAGTGGCAGGTAGTGATGTATGTCCCTCTGAAGACAAAAGCCTTTCTCTCAATAGATAAAATCACTTCAAAATCAAAAGCAATTTCAGAAACTGGTACTTACTTCATGCTGGAACACAGTTTTCCAAAGACACTTTTCTTGAGAAGGCAAGAAGGTTTTTAAAACCATATTTTAGCACTTTGTGATTCAACCTCTCAAAATATGAAATGCAACTCTTGTTTAAAAGTATTATTTTCACAGAAACTTTTAAGAGGATAACCATACTGGAATTGTTGCTGCTGAAAATTGCCTAAACCCTGTAATACCTTCTCCCCACACACCTGCTGAGGAGTGGAAGGTAGACTGGTTACCACTTCCCCAAAGTTGTTCTGCCAGAATGCAGTCAAGTATTTCTGCAGCCCCAGCGAAGTCCGAAGTCCACAAGGTCCTCACTCACTCATTGATCTAGGGACAGTAGGGTATCTTTGAGGAAAAGGTGGTTACCTTATAACAAGACCCTTTAGATATTTCAGCTCAGATATTTCTTGAATGTGCAAAACCAAAATCCAGTAATTTTCATGCATTTGTGTGTTTGTGTAGGACACTCTGGTCAAACTAAGTTAACCATGAGCCCACAGTGTATTTAGGACAAAAGAAATTAACTATCCATATTGACAGTAGAGGGGATTTTGAAGATGGGAGGGGAGAGAAGGGGTGAAATGAAGTTCCTCTTGCTTAGCCCCCAGGGAACCCCTCAGGTCTTGCAGGCACCAGTTTGAAAACCATCATTCTTTTCCTTAGTCCTTTGGGTGGAAGGGTGATGTTTTATTTAGAAGAAGGAAAGGACTGCTCTGACCGCAGACACAGCAGACACAGGAGAGGTTATGTTAGTCATCTGGGAGGCCTGAGGAGCCCATCACTGTGCCATGTGGCCTCATCTTGTGTGTCATACTGTCTTTGCCCGACTTCCTGGGATCTCGGTCATATAAATGGCCTAGTAGATTGGTGCATTTTTGTTTTTTTTGGTTTCTTGGGTATTTTTGATTGGTGCATTTTTCCCTCTTCTAATTTAAGGAAAGTATATGTCTTCCAAATGCACTACTACCTCTGAAAGTGTATGTCTGCCTTGTGGCCCAGATGAATACTTGGACACCTGGAATGAAGAAGATAAATGCTTGCTGCATAAAGTTTGCGATACAGGTGAGTCAGTCATGTCAGTGGGAAGTGTGGATGAACAATATGTTTAGATACAGCAGTGCTGTCTCTCTGGGGGGACATAGGAAGAAGTTTTGACCACAGACCCCCAGAAGGATGTGCTTCAGATCCCAGAAGCACTGTGTTAACATTCTTCATTCAGAGCTTTTGTTCTGGAATATGTTTGTGTTGCAGTGTAATCATGGAACCCATGTTACAGTTGACAAAATATTTCCACAATGTTTCCACATGTATTCTGTGATTAAATCCTCACAAAACCCTGTGAGGCAGCCGGGATTATCCCATTTTAAAGATGAAGAAACTGAGACCAAGAGAGGTTGAATGACTTCTCCAAGGGTAACAAATGAGAAGCAGGACTCAGAGCCAGATCTTCTGACTCTCAAGGCTTTTTCCTAAATCAACAATGTCTTATTAACTCTAGAAGGAGCTCTTATTAACTCTAGAAGAAGGAGCTTGATCTCCTTCTCAGACTGCTATAGTTTTTTTGCCTCAAATGATTTTTCAATTATTATTTATTTGTAGGAATCGGGATCAAAATACATCTCTTAAGTCTCAACCTAGAGGTTCCTTTCCCTCTCTTTTTCCTTTCTCCATTCAGTTTATCTGTTGAAGAAACCATGTTGTTAATCCTGCGGAGGGTTCAGCCTGATTTTCGCTGGTTGCATTCCCTCGGTGTCATATAACATATTCTTCTGTCTCCTGTATTTCCTGTAAAGTGGTTATTAGATCTAGAAGGCTGATCAGAATCTAGTTTGTGTTTTGTTTTGTTTTGTTTGGAGTAAAACTCCTTCATAGTTGGCATATTGTAGTTATGTTGGTGATCATGTGGTAGCTGCTTCTCTTTTTGTGATATTAGCAGCTGTTGATGATCATGGCCTAGATCCGTTTTCATCAGGGGCTGCAGGAAGGTGATGTTCTAATTCTATCATTCCTTCTTCATTTATTAGCTGGAATTCTTTATAAAGAGAAACTTCCCTCATCAACTATTTGTTACCCTGAGTGCATTATACACAGGAAAGGCAAGATGAATGCTTCTAACTTGCTTTACCACTTTCCAAAATAATGACTTGATCACCAAGCTTTCGGCAAAGGATTTGTATGAATATTATGAACTCATGCATTTAGACATATTTGAGGTGTTTCCAACCATTGCGGTTGCTAGTTTTACTGGTGCACACATTGTCCCACCTCTTCCAGGGGGCCCCCATGTCTTCTGATACAACCCAGTTGTCTTTAAGAGCTCCCTTGCTTCCAGGCTCATCTTGGACGTGTCCTGCCCTGCGCCTGAAATCAGCCATTCCTTCAAGGATTCCTGATGGCTTTCAGTGAACATCTTATTTAGTGACCTCAGTCTGGGTGCTCGGAGGCTCATTGCTACTGGGTTGATCCTTGTTTATAGGGTTTTTTTCAGTGGACAGAACTGGAAAGGAAATAAGCATTTCTTTTTAACCTCATAATTTTTCTAATGTGTTAGAGACAGCTGGCAGATTTTGGCAGAGAAGGTAATATGGAAACTCCACCAAACAGAAGCATCTGATCAAGTCTTTTTTCTTTCCCACTGCTCAGTAATGACGTTGACTCATTGCTGTCTCTTGGAAATAAAGATTCATTCTATCTACTGCCAAAATGAATTAAAGCAGAAAACCTGGTGCATTAAGATATTTAAAAATATGTCAGAATTGTTCATCGTCACACAAGCTTCCATTCACTTACATTTGAGTGGGACGCTGGAATTAGAATTTTCCAAGGAAATGCCACTTATCCATGTATGTTCTGGGCACGTGTTTATGCATATTGGCCTTGGTGCTGCAGAGCTGACCTGGGCCTCAGAGAGTGGACACAGAAGGGAATGGAGATTTCTCCAGGTTCACCATGCTGAAAAGAATGGGAATGTAAAGGTGGCTGGTGGCTGTCATTTGAGACAGTGAAGGAGGGAACAGGTTTCTGGTTTGTTTGTTTCTTTTTCCCTTGGAACTCTGTCCTACTCAGCTCAGGCTGCTGACAGAATACCACAGACTGAGTGGCTTATTTCTCACGGTTCTGGGGGCTCAAGTCTGAGATCAGGGTGCTCCATGGTTGGGTTCTTGGTGAGGGCCCTCTTCCTTGTTTCAAGACAGCTGCTTCTTGCTGTGTCCTCACATGACGAAGAACAGAGAGAGGAAGCAAACTCTCTGCTGTCTCTTCTTATAAAGGCACTAATCCCATTCATGAACGCTCCAACCTCACGACCTCATCACCTCTCAAAGGCCCCACCTTCTAATACCATCACATTGAGGGTTAGGATGTCAACATATGAATTTTGAGGGGACAGAAACATCAGTCCATAACAAACTCCTATAAGTATTCAGGAATGTAAAGTACAAGGGCCATTTGGACAATCCAAGTGAGATGGGGTCTTTATAGGAGTAGAAGGTCTGTTTTCAATAATGTTGTATTGTGTCGTGTATGTACACGTGTGTATGCAGTTAATTCTCATTGTTCACAGTAGTTATGTTCTATAATGTACCACCAACACTGAATTGGCGAATACTGAACTGTGGCTCCTAGGAAAAATACAGGTTCCTGCGAGTCTCTGTCACCACGTTTTTGTCAACCAATCAACACATCACCTTGTTTTATGTGTGTTTCTGTTTAAAGTCACCTTATTTAATAAATATTTTGATTCGTTAACATTGAACTCACAGCCAATAGCACTGTAGCTCATGCCTGAACGAAGCTCATCTAGTACACATGTTTTCTCTGTAAGACATCGGAGCCTTCTTGTGCTTAGGGACATTAGACAGCACTGCAGCACTACGCTTGGGGGCCATTTTAAACAATGGAATCATTAACAAAAAGCACAAAAATAAAAAAAATGTCACTAAATAGGCTGCACAAAGGACACTTGTTTCTAGTGTGAGAGCTGAAACAGGAAGGCAGAGTGTCACCTTGTTTGACTTCATCTGGGAACATGCATGTCAAGCAAGTGGCTCAAAATTTTCTGTCCTGCATGTGTCTGAGAATGACTGCAAAAGTGCCAGGAGTATTGATTGGGGGCTATGATGAACTTTAGCGAGTGGGCAGAATTGACTATGAATCAGTGAATAACGAGGATTGACTGTGTGTGTGTGAGCATTTACTTGTTTCACAAAAGCTGGAAAGGGCCAGGAGATTGAGGATAAGGAAAGCACCTTGCTCTGTGTTGTGAGAAAAGAGACAAATAAGCGTGTTATCCTAAGTATTTGAGGAGAGATTAATTTCCAAGTATGTCATCAGGCCCAACCCCTGTACTTTCTCCATTTGCCTAATTACACAGTGACTCCTGTTTTCACAACTCTGAATGATCCTGTGGCCCTGCAGGATCCCAGGATGAATTCCCAATCTCCAGAAACTCTGTTCTCATAGGTCCAATCTAGCATCAGTATTAATATTTATCGCATTTGAATTTACTAAAAATCAAGAAGCTGTGAGGTCTGTTCTGCATGAGCCAAAATAGTCAATGATCATAAACCGCCCAGTCCTTCATCTTCCTACTAACATGAAAATTGACTTTGAAAAACCTACAAGACTCTGTTAATTACTGAGAGAGACAAACACCTCCCGGGATGTCTCAGTGTCTCAGTGCCAGCACAGGAAGTGTGAGGGGAACTTGGGAGTTCCTGAAACCTAGGTCCTGAATGATTCATCTGTCGGCGAGCGGGCCCTGGCGCTGCATCTGGACGGTTTGGGGCTGGGCGGTTTGGGGCTGGGCGTCGGCGAGTTGCACGAGGTGGAAGGTGTGTGCGCGCTCCTCCTCCCGCTGCCTCGCCGCCCCGTCTCTGTCTCCCGCAGGCAAGGCCCTGGTGGCCGTGGAGCCCGGCAACCGGACGGCCCCGCGGCGCTGCGCCTGCACGGCCGGCTACCACTGGAGCGACGACTGTGACTGCTGCCGCCGCAACGCCGAGTGCGCGCCCGGCTTCGGCGCCCAGCACCCGGGTACGGGCTTCAATCCTGCGTCGGTCGGCTCTCACCAAGTCGTGCGATTACACCGATTACACCGAGGCCAGAGCCGGCTTTGGGACGGCTTCCCTGCGTCATTCACGCTCCAGGGAGCCAGGTGGCGCTGCAGGAGCTCGAGGGTCCCCAGACAATGACCCCAGGTCAGGTTCTTCCGTGGGAATGTGAGCGCTCGGCCCACGTGCTCGTCTCGAGATTCCTCATCTGTGAAACCTCAGGATCCCCACTTAGGAGGGCACCCGATAATGCAGGGGTCCTCAAGTTTTTTTTTTTTTTTTACTTGTGCACCCCCTTAGAAGAATTTTGAAAAACCGTGCACCCCCTGGCATATTTTTAAGTTGACGCCTAAAATTTTTCATTACAAATTTAAAGGGTTGCTAAGGACTTAGTTTCCAGGGAATTTTAACAGAGTAACACTTTTAAAAATATTCGGTGGAATCTAAACACCATAGCAATTTGATACCCTTCATCATCCATTATAAAATGTACTAGTCATCCTCAACTGTTGGAAATTTTGTATAGTCCTTTTCTCTCTTTTGATTCATATGCATTTCACCTTCCCCACAGAATTTTATCCGACTGTATTTTTATGCTTTGAAAGCTTTTACTAATTACCTTTTCATACTCTTTTACATCAAAAAATATGCACCTATTTGAAATCTTAGTTTTTAAAAATTTCCTGTGACTCAAGGTTCTAAGGATTCAAAACATTTCTTCTGGACTAAGTTGTTATTACAGTTCTTATTACACAATTGGTCAAAAATGAATATATTATATTTTGCTATATTATAGTTATAAAAGTAAAACACAGGATTAGGAGAATTAAAATATTACTCATTTCAGTTCCTGTTGAGGAAAATGGTCATCACAGAGTCTGTCTGGCACAGTGAGTCCTTATTGTCAAAGGCACTGACTAAACCAGATGAGCTTTCTCTTAGAAAAAGTCTGACTTGATTTTTTAATTATTAGAATAAATCTTCCTATGACAGGCAACTCCCTTCTGAATTCTGATTCTAAGATAGACAAGGCCCAGAGCCTTTCTGCAAGTTTGGCACCTGCGTGATTAAAGGTGCTGCCGCCTTTTTTCTGAATGTTCTCTGCCCTGTCCCGTGGGGATGGTGCATTCTTTGGCAAGAGATGGAGGATAGAGGGGGTGATGTGGATGAATGAAAATTTCACTTCTGCCCCATCTCACACTATATTTGAATTCAGAATGACTCATCCTGGTCCCAGATACCCCGTTGCTGTTGTCACACTTCGCCCTTAATAGACAGGGAAAGTCAGAGGCTGTACTGAGGTGCTCTGAGTGCAGGAGCTTGCCCATCACCAGTATTTCGACTTGTTGCTTTGCTCGGCATCTCAGAGGTTTGGCACCACAGCAGGATGTGGAGGGCTAAGAAGTGTGCCTTCTTTTTGTAAAGTGGGAGAAGTGTGAGTGTGAAAGGGAAAAGGGAAAGGAGAACCTGCAGGATGCCCCTGGCAGGTCTGTGTTACAAAGAGTGGACGTGGAAGCCAAGTGTGTGGAAATTAATGCCCTTAAAGCTCTGTGTGCCTTGTCACCCCTCAGGAAGTCTCTTTGTTTTTAAGGGTTACTCTTCAAGAATGTGTTTATCTTTTTAAAGGCTGTTTGAATTAATGTGAGTGACTAGATGTTAACTGAGCTCTCATTAATATGGTTTCAAGGCAAATCAAGTTGCTAGAATAAGGGAGGGTACCCTACTTATTGAGACAATTGCAGAAATCAAGAATGTACTTCCCACTTCACTTTAGACAAAGAAAATGTAATTCCTTATTTTAGTGTTTTATTCATGAAAATAAATCACAGACGTGCCACTAATTTCAAGAGTAATTTGTGGTTTGGGGCACTAGCCAATTGCCTGTTTATGATATGACATGGTAGACAATGTTCTTCTTTATTGGAATTACCAAAGGGTCATCACATGTCAGTTGCAGTAAGGATAACAGACATAGGAAATCTGAGACATTTCGTGTTTTGATAATGTAGTTTTTGTGGAATATGAGAGAGTTGAAGAAAGCTTACCAACCAGGATCAATTCCTGCTCTCAGTGCTGTGGCTTAAGGCAGGTGTCCAAAATCCATCCCACCACTTGTGTTTGTGTAAATAGAGTTTTATTGGATCACAGCCACATCCATTTCTATTTTTTTCACGTATTGTCTATGACTGCTTTCATGCCACGGGGAATTGAAACAGAGACCGGAAGGCCTGCAAAGCCTAAGGTATTTACTGGATGAGCCTTTATAGAAAACGTTTGCTACCAAACCTTGGTTTAAGAGAAAGAAACCTGTAGGATTCTTTTTTTTTTTTTTGAAAACGTTGTTGTTACTCCAATACTTGGACCGATGAGATTAAGCTGGTGAGAAGGGGTTAGGACAAGAAGTTTCCCTTAAAAGGAGTCAAAGGGCTGCCATTCTCTGTAGACGAAAGCTGATGTCAGCGCAAGAGGCTGAAAAGGGCGAGCAGACAGGTGCCTCGTTAAAACAAGTCAGACAGCAGGCTCCTGGGCTAGGAACAAAGTATTGGTGACCAGGACAGTGGCTTTGAACAGCAAAGGGTCAGGACCAGAGAGCTGGCTCTAACCCAGCTAGTGACATTAGCAGCCTGACACTGGGCATGTTCCCTTTCTGAACACAATTCTGTAACCTACTGCTGGGATCAGAATGGGTCTCGTGGGGCCCTCTAAAAGCCTGTGGGGCTGAAGCAATCAGCCGCAGGTGGCGAAGGCAGGGGTGGAAGGCCAGAGGCAGAGGGGCAGCTCCTGAGCTCTGGTCCTCTGGGGCACCATCCTGGCCGATCTCTAAGTGTCCTCGTTTGTTTTCTGTTTGTTCTTTTGTCTGTGTGTTTTTTTGACAGTGCAGCTCAACAAGGACACGGTGTGTCAGCCCTGCCTCGTAGGCTACTTCTCCGATGCCTTCTCTTCCGTAGAAAAATGCAAACCCTGGACCAAGTAAGTGACAAGGAAGGAGCCTAGAGAGTTTGTTGATTTTAAACAAATCAACCTCCACTGTCTCGTCTGGGCTGAAAACAGCCTGATTCAGTTGGGTGAGGCTTCCTCTTGAAGCCATGTTCAAAATGGAAAAAGTCTGTCAGTTCAGTGTGGGCAAAATAAACCAGTCTAACCCAATCTTCATCCTGATGTGTGCTACTTTTTAGATTCAGTTTGACTGAATCTTGACTTACAGTTGCAGCTTCTTTTTCCTCTTTCTAACCTTATTTAGTTGAAAATGATTTATGATATTTATTATCATTCACTCATCACTCCCACTTTTCCCAGCTTCCCAACAACACTGGTTTATTTGTCCAGAGACTGTGTGTGTGTGTGTTGTGTGTGTGTGCTTATCGAAGTTTCCTGTTTATATAAATGTTTGCATACTATAAACACATAATATATCCTAAAGGAAGCTCACTCCATATTAGTTCCCTTAGATCCTTGTGGCCTAGTATTTCATTGTAGAGATGTATCAAAATTTATTTAATAAGTTCCCTATTGATAATCGTTTAGGTTGTTTTCAGTCTTTTGCAGTAATAAACAATTTTGCAATGAATCATTTCACACATATACTATTTCACACTTATGTGAGTATATCTATAGTGGAATTCCTAGGTCCTTTCATTGCCCTCTGGTTGTTGAATACTAATAATCAATGCAATGATTCTTTCAGTTCCCAATATATTAATTGTCATTAAATATTTATTTTCCGATCCACTTATCCAAGTTTTATGTTGAAAAGATCTTCTGTGTTTTCAACTTCAAAAGAGCATTCAGAGGCCGGCCCGATGGTGCAGCGGTTAGGTTCATGCGTTCCGCTTTGGTGGCCTGGGGTTTGCCAGTTCAGATCCTGGCACGGACCTGCTCACCGCTCATCAAGCCATGCTGAGGCAGCGTCCCACAAAGAAGAACTAGAAGGACCTACAACTAGGATATACAACTATGTACTGGGGCTTTGGGGAGAAAAAAGAAAAAGAGAAAGATTGGCAATAGATGTTAGTGTAGGGCCAATCTTCCTCAAAAAAAAAAAAAGAGCATTCATCAAAAGTTTATCACTTACCCATGGCAGTTGAAGCATTGGAATCTTCTTTACTGAAGACACCAATCTACTCTCTTTTGGACCATACTCTCAGAGTCATTCTTAGAGAACACTGACAGTGGTTACTTTTGTTTATTCTTTCGTCCACCTTTATGATGTGTGGATGGGGACTGGGGACTCAAATTCCCAGGATGACCTGAGTTTCTCTCCTGAAGGAGTTCGTAATCTAGTAGAGTAAAGCCCTGTGTAGCTTTTTTTTTTTTTAAACAGGAATATAAAACCAAAACACTTACCTTTTCCTCCACAGCTGTACCATTCTTGGAAAGACGGAAGCACATCACGGGACTGATAAATCAGATGTGGTTTGTAGTTCTTCTCTGCCATCTATGAAACCACCAAATGGTATGTTTAAATAGAGCAGTTTGTTGGTAGATGTCCCCCAGTCTAGTCAGCTCTTCTAGATTTCTCCCGAATTACATGCTGTATCTAGAGGGGTTCATCTCTCTCTTTTCAACTCATCCTATCCACGATCAGCTCAGTATTTCATTTTTATCAGTATTTTAATTCCATATATGTTGTTTACTTGATAGTTTTCTACTCTAGAATGGATAAAGAATAATATATTCAAAAATAAAAAAAAAAGAAAGAAAATTGAGCTGCAACCATAAATTAAAATGTTCAAGTATTGTAGGATGGTGGTGGTCACAGTAGGGGTGTCTGTGGGGAAGTTTTGGTCACCAACCAGAGTTAGCAACTTGTTAGAATATTGCTATTGTTATTTATGGAACATTTTGTAGATAAACTTAATCTTGAGTACAGTTTCAAAGATTGACAGAGAATTGACAGTTAATAGTGGATACTGGTTATCCAAGTGAGTGAGACAGTATGAAGGTGGGTCCAGATATCATAGCACAGAGATGGCCTGAGTGGCAAGAAGACCTTTCTAATGAGACAAGAGAACCGAGGACACAGAAGAATGAGACTAATGAATGGTGACTAAGAAAATCAGGAGTTTAGATTTGACATTTTGGGAAACAGGAGGACATCAGAGCGTTCTGGATATGGAGTTACACAGTCACAGCAGCGTGTTAAAAAGAGCATGTCAAAGATAACATTACAAATAACTGAGGAGATAAAAAGTTATTTTAAAAAAGAGAGAAGGAGAGGAGAGGGGAGAGTCCTGGAAAGCAGGTCATGTCAACCAAGCATTTATAGTATAAAGATTCTAGCACTGAAGTGATCAAGGGGGATGAAAATATGGGGTGAGTCCACATTGTGTTGTCGACGAAATACCTGAAACACTTCGCAGATGGCTGTGGTTCTGTTCTCATGACCAGCAAAACCCTGGTGCCGTGTTGTCATTTGGAAAGAGATATGATAAGGGGCTTCCTTTGGCCTCCAAGGCCGTCCACCTGGAGAGATTGAGGTGTGCCATAGGTAAGCAGAGTTGGAACTGGACGGCGTGGTCAACATGATTAGAGTCGTTCTAAAGGAGAAACATGTAAAGATGGTTCTGGGCTGGCCTTGCTCAGAGTGATGCCTGGGCTGCATTGCTGAGTCCACCTTTCCGAATGTGAGCACTCTCTGACAAACCTACAGTCAGGGTCCAGAGCTTCACACTTCTCTTATTCCAGACCAACATCCTTGACGCTGGGGTTTGATTTAAAGGGTTTTGTTTTTAAACTTAGAGAGTACAATTAAAATAACCTTTAATACCATTTTTCTCATTTTCTTCCAATACAGAACCCCAGATTTACTTGCCCAGTTTAATTATTCTGCTTCTCTTCATATCTGTGGCATTAGTTGCTGCCGTCATCTTTGGTGTTTACTATAGGAAAAAAGGGAAAGCACTGACAGGTATTGTGTCTACAGTGGGTTTTGAAAATGAATCTTAAAGAAAATGATACATTTCTAGGTAAATGCTTTGGAAGATGCATATATTGCCCATTGACTGCCTCCCGTGATCTGCTTACAATAAGGAGGTTGCCATCCTTTTCCATTTTCAGTTGCTCACTGTTTATCTTGTCTACCTCTGCTTTGCTATGATTTGATCAGTTTTCCCACATCGCATCCATGGACTTCATGAAACCCTGCATATCTTGCTATTTCCATTGACATTACATTACCTAATGTTAACATTGGTCAGTCAAAAGATTAAAGAGGGAAGATGGTGATTGAAGGCACCAGTGTTAAGCAGAGACCAATGTTTGACTAGAAACCACTTTTTTTTTATTTTTCTTTTTTTTTAGGAGATCAGCCCTGTGCTAACATCTGCCAATCCTCCTCTTTTTTTCTTTTTGCTGAGGAAGACTGGCCCTGGGCTAACATCCGTGCCCATCTTCCTCCACTTTATATGGGATGCCGCCACAGCATGGCTTGCCAAGCAGTGCGTCGGTGCGCGCCCAGGATCTGAACCGGCGATCCCTGGGCCACCGCAGCGGAGCACGTGTACTTAACCACCTGCGCCACCAGGCCGGCCCCAGGAACCACTTTTTTCGAAGTCTGTTCATTTTTGAATATTTTTATTTAATGCAACTTGACTACCCTAACAGCATGGTAACTGGGGATTTGAATAATGCATATTCAGATGATGTGGGTCGCTCATATAGTCAGAGATAAACAGACTTCTAATGTTTTGATCTTGAATTTTTTTCCCTCTAATAATATTTTACTGCCATATCTTATCAATGTGAAAGACAATGGGCCTACCAGTTACTGAATCAGGATTTATAACTGTTAGCTTTCTCTTCATCCCTTCATTCAACACATGTTTATTGGCCACCAGGGACTGGACTCAATACGAGCAACACAAACACAGTGAGTGCCCTCATGGAGGAAGCATCTCAGTGGGCAAGGCAGGGTTTAGGCCCACAGAGTGAGGCTGAGTACTGAAAGGGAAGGTGCAGAGCTCCAGGTGAGCAGATGGCAGGAGTCTGCCTGGCCTTGGCATCAGCCACGGCCTCCCAGAAGAGGAGGCAGAGGAGCTGAGATCTGAAAGTCAGGTTGGAATTAATTAGCCCAAGGAGAATCAGAAGCATTCCATGCGGAGAGAACTGCACGATGAGGGGAGCAGGGTGAGTTGGGGGGATTGAAGGAAGGTTAGTGCAGCTGGAGCAGAAAGTCAGAACCAGCGTGAGGTGAAACTGGAAAGGGAGGCACAGCCAGATGCTACAGCCCTGCAGACATCGCTAAGGAGTTTGCTCCTTATCCTTAGCAAAGGAAAGTAAAAACAGCCATCTCAAATACCTCTGGTTTTAGTATTTGGGTATTTCAGTAATTAAAATAAATTTGGGGGTACAGTAAGAGTGGGTGCAGGCACACCAGTTAGGGGGACTTTCACAATCCTCCAGGGGAGAGGTTATCATAGTACTTAATGAAAAGTTATCGCCTCTGCGTGCAGATATTTCTCAGTACCATTTGTGACTAGTACTGGTCCCTACAAGGAAAGAGATGCAACTCTCCTTTTCTTGGGGGTAACTTTATTTTTATATAATTTCAAAATTATAGAAAACAAGAAGAATGATGATGATGGTAGCAATCACTGACATATATTGAATGTGTATTCTGTGCCTCACTGCTATATGCATTGACATGGACTAACCAAATCTCACAACAGCACTTTAAGGAAGGCACTATTATTTCCCCCTTTTATGATAAGGAAACGGAGGCTCAGAGAAGTTAAATAAACTGGGAAAGGTCACATAATAGGTATCATTAGCTATTATTATGACCTGATTATCTTTCAATGGAGAATTGACAACCTCCTGACTTTAGTCTTTATAGTGAATTCAACATTAAGTATTCAATGGAGGTAGGGTAAAATTTTATCTTTGTATAATGTAAGTTCATAGATTTTTTTTAAGTTTATAGATTTGACTTAAGTTTCATCACTTCGCTTGTAAAAAGTTAGTGGAGATAGACTTTGTATATGCCACAGAACATCTTCTTCCTTCTGAGAAGCAAGAAGGTATAGTGGAAAAGGATTGGGGGACCACTGGAACTTGATGGGGTCTGACACGGCCTTCCGGCGTGCACTTTACTTTTATTGGACATATGTTTGAGCTAGTTTACTGGTGAGTCAGTCTCCTAGACCCACGTCGTCCTTGTTCCTCTACACTGCCGAGCCTAGTCCCTCGTAGTCAAAGAAAAAGGTGTTCGCTGGAACATTGGTGAATCATATTTTGCTTTACATGGATCAGCAAGTTCTGTTTTTGATAGGAAGAATAAGATGCCTTCATAGTCTTTCAATTGGTTGATTTTCCTTTAAATGTTTTCACTCTCAGGAACTCTCACTGAAAGACTTGCAGAGGATTATGTTTAAAGATAATATTGAACTGAGATAGTGGTCAATAATACTGAATTAAAAATAGGAAGTAATCCTATGAAACCCTTATCCTTACTTTGTTTTTCTAGCTAATTTGTGGCACTGGGTCAATGAGGCTTGCGGCCGCCTAAGTGGAAATAAGGTAACTTTAAAAGTCTTAATTGCCTCCTTTAAGTACTTTTAACAATTAAGCTGATATAACTGTTATTAGTTGAATATTGAGCCCATGTGTAAGGGGTACTTCCTTGAGGGGATGGACCCTCAAATCCCAGGGCTGATTCCTACAGAATAACCCAAAGCCCAAGTCGGGGCTCATCCTAAATGCCTGTTTTCTTTGTATTTCATTCCATTTCTGTCATGTCTTTGTACATATATTATTTATATTATTATTTTAGTGACAATCCTGATTGCCTAGTACAGATTCCTAGGAGGAAAGAGCTGCCACTTTCCTTTACTCTGTAGTTATTTTGGTCATTTTTAATTTTGATATAATTTCAAAATGATAGAAAAGCGCTGAGAATAGTACAGAAAACTTCCACCTACCCTCTACTCCGATCCACCAATTGTTTCTACTTATCACATTGCTTTATTTGGTCTCTGCGTGTATATGTGTATGTATATTTTTTTCTTGAACCATTTTAGAGTGAATGGTAGACATTGTGCTCCTTGACCCTTAAATACTTCAGTGTGAATTTCTCTTATATAACCATAGGACATTTATCAAAATCAAGAAATTTAATAGTGGTACAATACTATTCTCCAATCCCCATTCGATATGAAAATTTCATTAATTATCCCATTATGTCCTTTAGATCTATTTTCTTAGGTATAAAGTTATATAAATTTTAGACCATGTGCTTATACTGATTCCTCCAGTTCCAGAACCACAGGATTCATTCTAGTCTTTCCCTTATCTGTACTTGACTCTTCCCTTCTCCAACAGTGTGAACCAGGCTCCTGTTATCCTCGATATATTTACTCACTTGCTCAATTCCGGAATACACAGAAAGTAGTTTCAGAATTATTAAACCATACCACAGCAGAAAACAGAGCTACTAACTAGAGTGCAATATTTGTTTACGGTTTTTTTTAAATTTTAGATTGCGAGTATAGGCAAAATACTGTGTTCTAAAGTTATTTGGGTTAGCTCTTCTCCTTGCTTTAGTGTGAACATACCATTCATTTGAAATACAGTTAGATTCGTTTGTTTCTGGTTATATGCCATTTCAGGGTTCCCCCCCCGACTCTGTAATTTTAAATAACACAAATAAAGTGACATAGTGAGTGTTCCATCTGTACTTGCTATGGTGGAAATAATTACTGTAAACACCACTTTCAGCCGTGTTTAGCAGAACCATGTTCTGATAACTCTGGGTATTAACGCTTCTGCCTTCTGCATTTAAATCAGCAGGAGTCCTCAGGCAGCAATTTTAGCAGCCCTCAGATGGAAGCCTCTAGTCAGCGTGAAATTTGTGAAGGTGTCTTACTGCTGACTCTGGAAGAGAAGATGTTTTCTGAAGATATGTGCTGTCCAGACGATGGTGGTGTCTGTGGGGGTGCGTGTGCAGGCGGTGGTCCCTGCGCACGGGGAGAAGACGCCAGGATGCTCACCTTGGTCAGCGAGATTGAGGTGGACCCCTTCAGGCAGATTCCTATGGAAGACGAATACGTGGACAGGCCCTCCCAGACCCCAGACTCTTTACTGTTCCTCGCTCAGCCTGGAAGCAAATCCACACCCCCTTTCACTGAGCCCCTGGAGGTGGGGGAGAATGACAGTTTAAGCCAGTGCTTCACTGGGACAGAGAACATGGTGGATTCCGAAAGCTGCAACTTGGCCGAGCCCCTGTGCAGGACTGATTGGAGTCCCATGTCCTCCGAAAAGTACTTGCAAAAAGAAGTGGAGGGTGACAGTTGCCCTCATTGGGCAGCCAGCTCCAACTCTGCAGATGGCTGCACAGGCTGCGGGAACCCTCCTAGGGAGGACCGGGAACCTCACATGGGTTCCCCGAAAAGTGGACCTTTGCCCCAGTGCGCCTGTGGCATGGGCCTTCCACCTGAAGAAGCAGCTGATGGGGCAGAGGCAGGAGGCCACCCCGTGGATGGGGCTGATGCAAGGCTTCCCAGCTCCGTGAGGGGAGGCCCTGGGTCTGGAAGCCCCTGCAGTGACCAGCCACCTGCATCTGGTAAGTAACTCTCTTGGTCTCTCCCTTCTGAGCATAAAGGCCTATTCTTGGTGCAGTGTTGCGGGGCAAGTGTCACAGACCATTTAGGGAAGAGGGAAACTAACATGGGAAAAATTCCACTCGAGGCTGATAAGCCTCTTTACAGGATGGGTTTTGATTCAGTCCACCAGTTGGGTTTGTGGGTTGTGCTCACTGCTCTGTGACTTTATCCTCTGGCCCCCAGGGCTGTCTCTTCCCTTATACTTGTCTTGTGCCCTTTTGTGTTCAGGCTTCTCATGATGGGATTAGACCTCAAATCCCAGTATTGACCCTGTGAAGACAATGTCAACATTGACCTCGGGATCGGCTGAAGTCAAGGCATTGCCTCAGATTCCTGGTTTTTGTTTTTAATGCCTCAAATCCCCCCCAAGAAAATCTGTTATAAATTTCAAGAGGACAAACAAAATTATTTAGTTAATCTTTAATTAATTAATATTTATTGAGAGTAGCTTGTTGGTTCTATACCAAATTAATGATGCAGTAAACCGTCCTTTACTGCTTTATATGAGAAGCCTCTTTTATAACCATGCATATAATATATTTATGGAGCCAGAAGGATAATTTTACAATTTAAAATCATAGAGATTTATCACTGCACCACTGCTTAAGCGTGAATAGCCCACCAATTATAATATTATAACTTTTTCTGCGAGGATAGAACACCATCTGTTTTATTATGTAGTTACACGGGCCTTGGCTGCTGATGGTGAGGGCTTCCTCTGGCTCTGAGGGATTACTTACTACATGGGGGGTCAGGGATCCTTTGAGAATCTTCTAAAAGCTATAGATACTCTCTCCGGAAAAATGAATATATGGATATATACTATTTAAGGGGCTTCACAGAATCCTCCCACCCTCAAAAAAAAGCACATTCATGGACCACTTTTATCCCGGAATGCTTTTCTTTTTCTTTTTCTTTCCTGCCTCTCTATTTAGACAGCAAGTGGTGCTAGCAGCTGGTCATTGAGTTATTTTATAACCCTGAGGTAGCTAGATTCCTGCCCTAAACTCAGAGACTGTTGGCCTCACGCTGACGATGGCTCCTCGTGTCTTTAGTAGAATAACGTACTTTAATCTGTTTTCCAAGCTTTGTGGTTTTGCTGCAACCACACGAATTCACTGATGTGTAAATTCTAAAATATGAACTCTCAAACTGAAAGGAAGAGATACGTTTGGGGATATTTTTCAAAGAACTGATGTGTTTTTCCTTCAGAAAATGTCATCAAGATTTTAAGGAATTTCCATGACTAAAAGTTGGCTCTATTGTTTATGTGCATTGTTCTATTTCTTTTTTAGCAGTTAATTTTCTTTGCGTTGGTGATAGAGACATACAGAAGACTAGTTTTGGGGGGGCTGTGGGGAGTGGGGAGGCCGACAGTGTGGCAGTGGCCATGTCTTGATAACACTGCCAGGGGCAGACTGGTTTTTCCATTGGTGCCACCAGAAGGGTGATGGCTGCCACTGTGTGAAAACCATCAACAGTTCCTGGAAGAACGGTGTTGGCCAAATTCAGAGAGCTTTTTTTTCGTAGTGTCATGAAACCAAAAGCCAGATGTGTGCTCTCCTGTTATGAGTTAAAACAGTGCCCTAGTCTGTTTTTCATTATCTTTTATTTCTCCTGCACTAAACATCTAGGCATGGAGGAAAGAGAAAAAAGTGTGTCATCAACTAAGTGGTGTTAATTTGCAAAAAGTTTACACTGCTTTTTCTGTCTTCCTCTGGTGCTTAGCCATGCAAGACATCGTAGAGTCTGCCCGAGGATGCCAGCAAACGGGCCAAATTCATTTTCGACTGAGGAGAAGCAGCAGCCAGATTGATTTTTGAGGCTGTGCTGTTCTCTTCATAATTACTTCTACGTGAACAGGCCTTCTGGTTTCTGGTCAAAATGGCACTTTCTCATTATTGCTTTTTTTAAAAAAATTGTCATAATTTGTGTTCCATAAAATGTGTAGAAGAGGATGGAGCTTGGGTAAAAGATAAGAGAGGGGCCTAATCCTATTTGATTTCCTAAAAGCCACTCTGCTCCCAGGACCTGAGGGAGGTGGCCTTTTTTACTGGGTTTTGGATTTTTATATGTGGGTGTTTTGTTGTTTTTTTTGTAAAGTTACAACCAAATCAAGTGGTTTCTGGAGAAATGACATGATTGGGCACTTCCCCAGTAGGGAAGAGTATCTGCTTTGCACCCAGCATCCTTTTGAAGAGAAAGATGAGTCTTCAAACAGCTCCACAAATACCCAACATTAAGGCTATTTTAGCAGTGTTATAACTCTTAAAGAACAGTGAGAGTTACTAGCGAAGACCAATGAAGAGGGCAACACACTTTTGGTTATGTCTTATAACCATGTCTTAATTTACATCTTAAATTACTATCCTGACGACATGACAGGGGTTACCTTGGTTACAAGCCCCTTCGCCTTGAGTTTGGAGAATTCTCACTGTATCTAGAAAGTTATTTCATGTGAAAGAATGAACAACTTCTTGTAATTAAGATGTCTCGGGGTCGGCCCCATGGCTTAGCGGTTAAGTGCACGCGCTCTCCACTACTGGTGGCCCGGGTTCGGATCCCGGGCTGAGGTGGCGTCCCACATACAGCAACTAAGGAGGATGTGCAACTATGACATACAACTATCTACTGGGGCTTTGGGGAGAAAAAGGGAAAAAAAAAGGAGGAGGATTGGCAATAGATGTTAGCTCAGGGCCGCTCTTCCTCAGCAAAAAGAGGAGGATTAGCACGGATGTTAGCTCAGGGCTGATCTTCCTCACAAAAAAAAAAAAATGTCTTTAGTTGGCCAGTGATTTGCTTCTGGCCCCTGAAATCACTTAATTGGTTCAGCTGCTTCTGAGCTGGAGAGAGTTGTTTATTTACAGGGCCCACAATGATTCTTAATGAACACCAGCTACATATTGTTTTTCTATCAAATTTTATTGAGGGTCCACTGAGCTATGGAGACATGGAAAACAAGTAGAGACTGAGGTCAGGGTGTGGACAACACAAACAGAATCAATAATTTGAGAAAGCAAGGCCTTCCACGAGCTCATTCATTCATTCATCCAGTCACAAATAACTAGAGGAACAAGAGACCATAGCTCCCTGTTCCCTAACTTACTCTCAGCCTCCCACTCCTTCAGTCTGCTCTGGGGAGCTGGGGGCCAAGCAGGGGATGGAAGGACTGGCATTAGCGGTCCTGGGCAGACCTAGATGTCCTGGGTACAGGAGGCAGAGATGACGGAAGCAAAAGTGAGTTGGTTCATCAAAATGGCACAGATATGCCAAGGCCGATGCCTGGGAGCCAAGGGCACTGGAGGATGAAGGGCACTTGCCTGACCCCATTTCTCCCCCATCCTCAGTCTCCCATCCCTGGGTCCCACCCTGTCCTGACATGACTGTTCTTGAGTGTCCATTTCCATCCTGAAAGGATGGATAAAGGTTTTCCTGCTCTATTTTTCTTTCCCTTTCCTTCCCTCCTCCCACAGAATGGATAGTCCTCTGTTTCTAACTTTCTTCTCTCTCCTGTTGAAATGCCATCCACTACCTTGTGTTTCACTTTTAGCTATGTATGGTAAGGGCAAGTATTAGCTCATTGATTCTGTAAATTAAAAATATTTTATAATTTGGTTATTTGGTAATAATACACAGCATTCATTGGTGCTAAAAGTCAATGCATTATTTCAAAATATATGAAAAATGTGTTCACTGTATACTTTGATTAATTTAGTCCTGCTTGCCTTCTTTCTGTTCTAATGGGGCTCATTTTGGAAGGGTTTCCTTCGTAAGCTATTCTAAGTAATTTTCAAGCATGATTCAGAATGGAACTATTAAACACTGCTTCCCTTCTCTTATCGTCATATACCCAGTTTCTTCCAAATGCCTAAAACAGAGCTTGCATTTCCATAAAAAGGAAAATCACATGAGAAGCATATGGGTTAAATATAAAATAAGTTTTTAAAAAATTCCGAAAGAACCCAAGGTAGCCTGGGTAGTTTGACTGTATTTGTGTATATTTTTAGTTCTGTTCCTTGGAAGAAAATCTACATGACAATTGGGGGATATTTGCTATAGTTCTTGTGATTTAATATTCATGCATTTTAAACAACATAAGCTTTTGAGAAGAGAAGTGTGCATTACCCTGCTTAAAAATGTAAATTCTGTCAGGGATTGAGTTCTTAAAAGGAAGCTTATTCTCTCTGCCTGAGAAATAGAGATTCCATGGAGCCTGCTGTGTAAAGCATGGACTTAGCAAAGTATAAACACCTTTCTGGTCACCATGGGGCACTTCATTTATTATTGTTTCTGTTGACTTAAATGCTATTTTTAACTCTCTCAAGTTACTTGAAAATTTTTCTAGTTGTCATATTAAATATTAATGTTAGGCCAACTAACCCATTTTAAATGTTAGAAACTCTTCAAAATTTCTAATTTAAAAAGTCCTCGTCATTTTGGCTCTCAAATCATACTTTTGGGTAGCCTTCAAATAGAATTCTATCAGTCGCGTGTGTTCAGAGACATGTAAGACTGTGTTGATGTTCTGAAGGTTATATTTTTATCAGTGACATTAGTGATATTAGTTACCAGGTGCTGGCTAAGGGCTTCACGTGTATCATCTTCTTAATTCCCCACAGAAATCCTATTGGCAAGTTCCTTGCCCAGAACCACGCAGCTAATCAGCTACAAAACCCTGATTCAAATATCTGATTGTGAAGCCTGTACCTTAAACCATTGCACTGTCTCCCCTTAAATCAGTGCCACTGATATGGATTTCATTTGTGTACGGTGCCTTGGGGAATCCTCAGTGTGCCACAGAACAAGGGCAGGCTCGGGCCTGGGATAATTGGCTACTCTGGCCAATTACTATTTTCACTATCACTGATTCTTTTGTGAGGAGAGCCCTTTCTTTCACATGCCTCCAATCCCAGCTTTTTTGTAAGGAGGCAGCCTTGCAGGGGAAAGCTGTCAGAGAGGC